AAGATGACACTTGATTTGACAATGCACATAAATTCACTGTGACATTTTAAAAACCTCAATGAAACTGTGCCTGGGTTTGCTCAACTGCTTATTTCAGCCTCTTCACTGTAGCCCCTTTTTCTGGCCCCCAGTCGTCTTATCCACATTTACATTTTTCTGAGCACGTAAAGACTTCTCGTCTCCATCAACCTAAAAGTTGAGCTACTAAACAAATGGATTTTGAGGTGAACTACTTTTGCTGCTGTCAAGGTCAAGAATAAACTTTAAATTGTGCAATGATGTATAAGTGCCTTTCAAATGAGATTTATGTCTTCACTCGTATGTTTGTGGGTGCTTAACCCCTTTGTGCATTCACATTCCTTCTAAGTGCAAATGAGTGAGCTTCTATTTATGATACAGTGACAACATCATGCCAACATAACACACCCTTTCCCACCCTCATACTTGGCATAGCCTTGACACATACAAAGCTAAGGTGTGATATAATGAAATTGTGCCCCTGCGTTCACGCTGCCCTCAGCCCAGTGGACAGACACAGCTCTGCAATGTCACTTTGAGGAGGAAGCTGTGACACCTCTGCAGTGAGCGTGTGCATGTAGGGCACAAGCCTTCTTTCCTGCCTTTAATTATGAATGCAAACTATGTCTTTAATTTTCTCTGTTAGTTTAAAGAGAAGGCAAATGATATCCTTTGATTGTCCTATACCATGAAGTGCGTAGCATTTTGCAGTGAATGCAAGCCTGGATTGTAAACTGGCGAATATAGTCTCCTCAGTGGTGGATTTTGTCCTTGTAATTTATGACTTGTGAATTGGAAATGAATACAACAAAGGGAAATATTTTGAATCGTCCTTCCTACAGACTCCCTCTTCTCTAATATCCACTGTCTACTCTGTTCTTCATCGCTTTGATGGTTTTCTGTCACTTATCTCAGGATCTGTCTTTTAAACTAGAGTCTCTTTTCTCCCTCTAATGAATAGTTCTTACACTCCTCTGTCTCTCTCCCTCTCTGTTCCCTCTTTTCTTCTTCTCTCCATCTGCTTGCTTGATCTGTCAGAGAGACGGCAGGAAGACATTTTTCTGCTTCGGTTATAAAAATCCCCCCAGGGTGATTCTGAAGAAAGACTCAGATGACTTTCCTCATCTCTGCTGGCCCTGCGATGTGATGGATGGAAGTGTTTGAAGGGCCTGACTATTTATATTGGACTGTGCATCAGAGTGGCTCACAGTTAGCAGTCATGGGGGGAGTGTTCGGGGACGGGGAAGACGATGCAAAGGGTTAAATCATATAGGTGGAGCTTTTGAGATATGAAGGTGTGTGTGGGTTTGCGTACTGGCACTTGTGTGGTGAGTTCTGGTGTGAAGGAGAGCCCAATGTGACTCCACAGTCAAGGCTGATTGCATTCTGGGACCACTCTCCTGTGCTGTGGCTAGAAGTCACAAGAATAATTTTCTCCACTGCAATTTTCTTGATGCATTTTAAAATTATTGATATATAAATCAATGAGTTGATCCAGAGATTTGGATAATTAATCACTCCAGGTCATTCATCAAGCAAAAATACCATAAGGATTAGTGTCGTTCCCGCTTCACAATTTTTTGGGGTCGTTTTATTCTCTGGCATTTGAAATATTATACGGACAAAATCCAGTAATTTGTAGACTTTGCTGTAGCATTTTTTAAAACAATTTTCTTACATTTAATTAACGAGCCAATTTTGATTGATTTAGAAAATATATTGTAATGCAAATGATAGTTGTTTGCTGAACTTTTTGTCATAATTAAGTACTCAATATTAATTAGTGTATGACAACAGTTCCAATAACTATATAAAATGTGAGAGTGGAGTACATCTGTCAGCTCCTTGTTCTGGTTTTATGCTCTGAAACTTTACTGGTTAGGTTCAATTTCATTGTCATCAGCTTTCCATGTCTGCAAAAAGCTCTGCACCTAAAGTACAACACCAAACAACTTATCGAGAAAGCTAGCAACCACCTGGTGAATGTTGAGCATTTAACAGGAGTGGGTGGAGACCAAAACAGAGCTAAAAGGGCACAGTCGATGTTTCTGTGAGTGGGTCCTTGTTTTTTTGTTTTATTTTAACCAAGCGCGTGGATGCACATTCGAGCATGCAGGCAATGTAGTTCACAATGTGCTATTGTTTTGATGGCCCCTTTTGATCTACATTTATAACAGTAACACAACAATGTCCACACACCAATGTAGCAGTGTGCCAACAAAGGCAGGAAAGAAGACGACTGATTGCAAATAAACAGTGAATGATTATGAGGAAGGAAATGTTCTCAAACACCTTTGTTAGACCTCACAATGTGCGTGGTGACTAACAGTGAATGTACAAAATTACTTTTGGTTATTTTCAAAAAACCTGTGCACCTTTGACCCTTGTTGTAGATTTGTTGTTGTAGAATGTTCTCCATACTGTTTGTTCACATGCATTTCTCCCCATGATCATATAAACCCATCATCTTAATGGCCTCTACAGTTTCTGCAGTCTTACTTTCTCTATTGTTGCTCACTAGGTAGCAAAGAATCTTAGTTCTTTACTCCTGCTGCTTCAATCTTTTTGTACATCTCTTCCAGCAGGAGTAACCTTCCCCTTAAATCCAACCAAGCATCTCTTCATCTTTTCTGGTTTTGCCCTCTCTTCCTCATGCTTTCCACTGTTGTTCTGCCATCTGCCGATCTCATCCTCCATTTTGTTACCTCCTGTATTACTTTCCTTGATCCTTGCCTTCTTGTCTTCATCCCTATATCCCATAGACTTCATCCCCATCCATCACTGCCGTCCCTCCCTCATTTGCCCTTTTCCTCTTTTCATCCTCTAAGCTGGTGCAGATGCTACAGCCTGATGTTTGTGTCGATCTGGTTAGCCGGCAGGTTAGATGGTCAGATAATCGAGAATTAGCCTCCACTTCCCGTTCTGCCAAGGTTAGACTCATGCAGTCACCTTGTCTAAAAGCCTGATCAGAAGGTGCAGTCAAGTATTTAAAAGAATCTAGCTGGAAAAAGGGTTTGTGACACTCATGGTTTCTTGAGGACTGACAGGCAGACAATTAAACTGCTTGGATAATTAGCAAAAGACTTCCTGTTCTATTTATGACCTTTGAACTGAGTTTATGACTCCTGCTCGCTGTGTGGTAACCACAGGATGAAGGTATGCCAAGATGATTGTCTACAGACAGAGAGAAGGGAGAGTGTCAGAAAGGGATGTAGAAAAGATCCCTGTTGATTTTGGACTGAACATCACCATGGAAGCAGCGAGAGGGGAGTGTGGGAAATACTAAATAAAAGAAAGACACAGACTCTCACACATCCCCCAAATAAAAACACTGAATGTTTTTTGGGTGTCAGTGGAGATGATAGCGGAAGAATGACAGAGTTTGCAGAGGGAAGCTATAACAACACTGATGAGCTATAACAAGCGAGGAGTAGATATTTTCATGTATGTGGAGAAGACACAAGGAGGAGGTTCTCTTTGTCCTTGAAAGCAGTTTCCTGATCAGAGTGAGGTATAGATTGCAAGAGAAATAGAGGGTGGTAGAGGAGAGGGCCAACTGGGGACAGTGTGTGAGTCGATGGAAGCTGTCACACCTACCTTGTTTGATCTGATCCTTTGGAAATTCTTGTTTAGTCTGACCGACACTAACGGGTGTGAAAGGTGCCAGGATTGCTTCGCCTCCGACGATATAATGTTTGATGGACAGGGATGTACATTCAACACATTTGTTGAGTCCTGCACATGGAGTTGGTGATGCTGCTGATAATACCATAATTATACCAGCAACAAAATTAACAAAATAATCCATTGTTCATTACTACACTATCCACTGAATTGTCAAGACGTCAACTTCATGCACTCATTTGTCTACAAGCTAATCTATGTCAAGTAAAAGTAGACGCAGCCTGTGTACAGTAGGTGATGAAAACAGAACAAAAGCATATCATACAAAAGTCTTTTTTCGAATTCACGCTCATTGAATTTTAATTTGAAAACAAAACTTTAGACATTATGAAAGGAACCTTGATGTGGACCTTGGTCCAGACTTTCAGGTGTGATAAATTATAATTAGTGCTATAAATTTTTTTATTTTCTCTTCATTAAATGTCTCGTTAACTTTTGGTAATCCACATCTTTTTAGGTGTTGGACTTTCTAAAAGTGAAAGCCATGTATGAAATATAAGTTGTATAAAGTTTATATTAAAGTTGCAGGGCAGCAGATTTGCAGAACTTTTTGAACTTTGTGACCTTGGCATTGGCTTGTGTTCTCCGTCTGGCACTGAACCAGTGGAGGGAGGCATTATTTGGTCTGAAACAGCAGCAAAAATGTGTGGGAAAAAAAGGTTTTAGTTGGTGTTATCCTCACAGTAAAATGGATAGAGGTGAGGATACAGTTACTCTAGCTCAGCCGTGTCCCACAGCGCGGTGTGAGCTTGTGAGTGTTTGATTGGCGCTGCACTTTTTCTTTCTTTATCTGTTTTATCTGTGATTTATGTGCTTCAGAAAGGTGGAATGGACAAGCAGGCCACTGTAGCCCACTGTGTGTGCCACTTATAGACAATGTGTGTTAATGTGTTTACATATATAAAATATCTATTATGTATATCATTATCTAGAATGACAAATAATAGAAATAGACATCTCCTATAATTATCTAAACATCTGTTTTTATCATGATCCGTCTTCAGTTTACAATCCCTACGATTGAGAAGCTGGAACCACTTTTACAGTTTAAACCTGGTTTTCATTACACCTTCGTTGTCCAACCAGCCAGACTACGTTTGGAAGAATTGACACAAGCATCATATGAACAGGACAGCTGCTTGAACCTGGTCAATGTTAAAGAAAATCACTTATCATCAACATGGAAAATGTTTCAGAATATGCTGTAGTTTTTAGCTAATAGTGTTTTTGCCCATACAACATTTTACCTACAGATTTTCATTCCCCCTCCCCCCTGCTTTCTATCTTTCTATTGTCAGGCTGCTGCTGACTTTGCCAAGGCCCACCTGCCCGAGGCTCTCCGCCAGCAGCTACTGACCTATGAACGGGAGAAAGAGCGAGACAGAGAAAAAGAGAAAGATGAAAAGAAGGAGAGGGGCGGCCTCTCCTATCCTTCCATCCTGGAGAAGCAGATCCTGACGTTGGACAGAGAAATACTGGATAAGCTGTCTGCCATTTACAATGAAGCAGGTGTGTGTGTTTAACTGTTAAATACCTTAACAGCCTGAAAACATTTCCCCTAAAAGTTGATTTTGGTAGCCACAGGTGATGGTTACAGTGGCCGAAATAATAGTTTTTCTTGAACGTGATATCTTTAGATCAGTTTATAGGTCCAGTGTGTAAGATTTAGGTGAAAGGGATCTATTGGCAGAAATGTAATGTAGAATAATTCTCATGATGTTTTCACTAGTTCGTTTCATCTAAATTATATGAATTGTAGTTGTCTTTACCCCAGAAAAGACCCTTTATATTCAAATACTTTATATTTACATTGAGGGGACCCTCTCTGTCGAGGCCGCCATGTTTTTTAAATTAGTCCAGACTGGTCAAACTAAACACCTTTTGAGTTTTTATGACAACTGAAGCTACCACAGGTTCTTTTTCATGTTTGGAAGGAGAGGGTGAGGTGAGGGGTGTTCAGCTGCAACATGACATTTCAACACTAGATATCACAAAATTCTACAAACTGTACTTTTAAGGGAATGTCTTCAAATTTGGTACAAACATTCACTTGGTGTCCATAATGAACTGATTACATTTTGGTGTTTGTCCCTGTGACTGGGATATATTAGGACTGCCCATAGGAAATGTAATTACATCTGGTACAATTCACTAGGACTCACTGATTAACTGATTCGATTTCGGGGGTTAAAGGTCATGGGGACATCAATAAAAATGTGCTTGAGGAACTTTCTTCAACTTTTGATCAGTAAGATAGTCAGATAAAGTGATTACATTTCAGTGGTCAAAGGTCAGGTGATTTTAAATGAAACTGGAAAAAATTATATAGAAATATGTACACGGAAACTGTACTGGTTCGCAGAGGCATACAACAGCAGTGCTGTGATTCCAGTTTTAATCAAGATCCATGAATTATTCTCTGGGAAATCAAAGAAAAACATCTCACAATTGTTCTCCCTATACCGCCATAGATAGAATGAATTCTGTGGGAAACCCTCCGGAGAAAGTGAAACAAAACACCTGGATCTGCTATTTATTCAGATCCACACCCATACTGCATCCTTCAACCAGGTTTTGTGATAATCTATCCAGTATTTTTTGCGTAATCCAGAAGACTAACAGAGAAATGAACAAAACTGACACATAACCTCCTTGTTGAAGGTAACTATAGACTTGATAAATTCAAGTGTTTGACAATTTCCTGCATCGGTTTTGTGTGTCTAGATCTTACACTGGTCCATGAATTAGCAATGACCTGTACATACAATGGATCATTCAAGGCCACATGCAGATGGTTTTTACCCACTTGTGCTCATTACTAGAGACACAATAGCAAATCACTAGTTTGTTTGTGGAAGTTTTTTCAAATGTCCCCTATAATGCTGCATGCAAACTATTATTTTCTACTTGACTGTTGAATAGTGACTGTCAGCATCCCCAGACCTTGCTTATTCAGCTGTTTAAATACAAGCTGATCTTCACAAGGCTTGTAGTAATTATCTCTGGAGGGAGGGAGGGGTGACGCAAGCGAGAGAGAGAGAGAGAGAGATGGATAGAAAGAGTTAGGAGAGGGGTCAGGAAGAAGGATGCATTTGTGTGTGAGGAGGACATTTTGCTGGTTAGAGCTATACAGCAGAGAGGAACGAGAGCCCTGTACGACAGGCGAAATGAAGGGAGGGCAATAAAGGAGAGGGGCAGAGACAAAGGGTGTGGAGAGACAGGGAGGGGACAAACAGAGAGTGGCACAGTCAGAGGGTGAGGAAAATGAGAGCATGGATACAAAGGATGATGAAAAAGACAGATCTGCACGAACCAAAAACAAAGGGTGCTAAGAGAGGGCAAAGAGATAAATCTTGGGGGAGAGATGGAAGAGAGAAAAGTCCCAACACAGAATCGTACATATCGTGCAACGCAGAGATGCACAAGCTTCGTTTATAAACATATTTCTTGGTCCTAAATTTCACCCCAGCCATATTTTTCAGATTATAACGATTAAGTGGGTAATAGGTTTTGCAGACATCAGAGAAGCAGTAAGATTAAGAGAGGAGCAGCAGAGTAATGAGCTTCATGTGCTTTTTCATCCACTTCCATTACATTTATACCACAGGGACAAAATGCAGGAGGAGGAGATGGAGGTCATGAAACTTTTTTCATGGCAGAAACAATATTGTCTTATTGAACATGCAGAGGAGTGAGTTAAATATAGATTATAAGACGATTACATGGAGTAACTGTCATGACGTGCTGCGCTCTCAAGAACTCAGCTCTCCTGACGGGAGGTTCAGTTTTCCTTCCGGGGCCCCTGATTACTCTAAAGCTGGGAGGAATGGAGCTGCAATGAGTAACTAGAGTAACTGATGACAGATACATTAAGTAATTCCTGAAAGGGAATTTACCATGGGTTCAAGGATTTGTCTATTATAACTATAAGAGATATTTATACAGTTTATTACTTACTTAAGCTGCTTTCAGACATGCACTGAACACCAGAGATTTTCAGGGTCCTTTTATTCTCCTGCCAGAATCCAGATGAATAGTGTCAGGAAAATTCCCAGTGAATGAGCGAGTGTGTTGATGACGTTTCTAAGACGTGACGGATGCAAAATTGAAAAGTAACTCATAGTCGATGAACATACACTTAGAAGACACGGACGAAGATGCCAACCTCGAAAGATAAAAAGATTTCAGAGCTTGGACTCAACTGTCCAGACATCTCCTCGTGTTAATGTCTGAAAACAGCTAAAGTTTCAATGCTGAGATCTCACCAACATAACACACCCCTAGTTAAGCCATTTGTAAGAGAACTTGTGTGAACTGTATTTATTGGTCATTCATTTATTTCAAACATCAAATAGATCAAAGTTGTAGTTGGACTGAAATCAGGGGAGAAGACATTATTAATGCAAAATTTGTCAGTGGCCAGATTTGAACAGGGTGTGTTGTGGTCAATCGTTGACGTCCTAACCACCAGACCGCAACAGAGGCCCCAATTAAAAATGTACATTTTAAAATAGAGAGCCTTCGATGATCTATATAAACTCTTAGCTTGTCTGAAACCTGTCAGATCATCTGACCTCTTCAGTTTCCTCCGTTTCTTCATTATCAGTTCACAGCAATTACTTTGAGTTGCAATCCACCAGACTTTCCCTTAAGAAAAAGAAATGAGGGGAAAGGAATGCAACTACTTACAATTAGATTATATGTCTGAACAGAGTTTAGCCTAAAGGAAAACCTGCATGCGCAGACGGCTGATGTGACTCACATGTATGTTGTTGAGGGGGGGGGGTCAGTGGTATGAAAGAGCCATTGAGAACGCCTCACGTCGTCATTATAATGCCGGATCATATGATCCGCGGATTGTTAAACTGGAGAATTAAACTGTCCAGACCACGAGCACCCAGTCTGCAGGCGACGGCTGACTATAAGCTCTCAGAAAAGGTTGATAGGCTGCAGCTGCATCACCTTTTGTTGCACTCGCCTCTTTTGTCCTCGTCCTCCTCTGCTCCGCTGCTTCTCTAGCTCAGCTTTCTGATCCCCGTTGCTCTCAAAACAGCCACCAAGTCAATCTCCCCTCCTGATCCCTCTGCCTACTTAAGCTACGTGACCTGTTGCATCCAAGGTCGAAAGATTCTCACCACTCCCTGTCTGTCTCTCATGCATCTATATTTCTATCATCCTTATATGGTAAAAAATATAAATTTACAGTCAAGATCCACTCAAGCAAAATGTCTGCATGTCTGTCCCCTGGCATTAGACAGTCAGAGATTGAATTTGCTTTCTTGTCAGCATCTCGGGGAAGGACTGATAGTGGGAGGGAGGGTGTCTGCTGATCAGGTAATTGTTGTGCATTCTTCTCCCTGTATCTGATTCAACAATCGGATCATTTAGGGTGCACAGCTCCCTGCTTTATGTTGTAATCGGAGCCTAAATGAAGCTGGCAGGAAAGGAAGAGCGGGGGAAATGGAGAGACACACTCTCCATTCAGCTCCCAGTCCCCAGGACAACAGCATATCAGATTTACTCCCCCCTTTTTTTTCGCTCATCCCTCTGTTGTTTATCAGCAAACAAAAGCGTTCCGAAGGAAGATAAGGGAGATGGGACTTTGATGGAATGTCCAGCACCTCGCAGTCTGTTAGGGGAACTGTGTCCCTAATGCAGTGTGGTGCTAATCTTTATGGAGCTGTTTGACATGCCTCTCAGCAAAATGTTTGCATCCACACAAGCACATTAATGTTTCCGGTAGTGCTTTAGTCCAATAATCAATAGTTGTGTTGCAAGCAGCAATATATAGACCAGACTGTTAGCCATGTTTTCTTGCTTAAAGGTTTATGTCGTAAGAGATAGATTGAGATTGAGGACATTTTTGATATAAATTCATGTAAATATGTGCAGGAATTGCTTCCTTCTCTCAAAATATGCAAGATATTTTTTTGCAAGGCAGGAATCAAATAAAGTGTTCACTGCATTAGTTCACTGCATAATTAAATGCTTCATGTTTTATAGATATGTGAGTGTGTAAAACCTGAACGTGTTTTACAAACACAGCAACATTAACATGCATGATATCAATTCAATGTCAAACTGGCAAAATGCTGAACTGTCAGAAATCGGATTATTTTAGAACTCAAATATCTGCTGCAAGAAGCGAAATATTCTGCCTCATTGGTGCAACAGAAAGTATTTATATTGCTGGTGCCAGACTGTAGATATCGTATTGCAATAAAAGGTATCATTACAAAGTAAATCGCTAAAGTAACTATAAACCTCTTCTTTTGTTATAAACATATACTTAATAGATAGATAGAGAAAAGATAGAAAATAGATAGAGAAAAACTGTAATAGTAAGAAATGTGTAATACTGTGGGCTATAAAGAGAAATAAAAAACATCACCATGATATGTTGACATCTATAAAAAGTCTACTGTACTGTTATATATTTATTTATTTATACTGTCATATATTAAGTAGTAAAAAGCTATTACTCACTTTCTAGCTCCATTTTGTTATGT